ACAAGGATTTACGGTGGACTTGGGATTCGTCCACTTTTGATAGCTAGACTAGGCGGATATTTATGCAGATTCGTAATTTTGGGAATATGACTGGAGAAATGCAATTTAAGTAGAGTTTCATTACACCAAGTATCAGAGCGAATGCAGAGATGAGAAGAAACCCAGCGGGACAGCACACAGAGGTAATGGGAGTAGTGTCCTCTTTCACTCAACGTCACGCTGTGCTATATGATCTCATTTGTGTACGTGACACTTTTGGCGAATTACGTGTCCTTATCTTTATGTGATTGTGTTTCGTCTATTAAAAATGACCCACAAGATTCGATCCATATTCCTTTGCCTAGCCATCCACTCGTGAACGTAGAGTACTTTTCTTTTGGGTATCCTATAATTTTTCGCATATTGTACGAATTGTATACATTTCTTGAACATTTACGTTTCCTATGAATGCATAAATATTCAGAACCTTCTGGTGACAAATATGTGGGAACTATCACACTCTTTCATGGACCCTCATCTTCCTCAGATTTCCACTTCACGTGGACAGATACATTTAAGGATTATCAGGATTTTAATCCTATTATCCTAAAAAGTATCTTCTCTGCAATCCGGGGAATTTCTCGTAAGAATTCCCCTGGTTTCCCCTAATTTCAATCGAGTAAAAACATTCCTCACACATAAACCTACTATCCTAATTAAATTGGACGTTGGAATGAAACGTTCATTCGTTGAGGTTTAATATAAATTTAAAATAAACCTAGATTCCCATGGTTATCAATTGCTCGGGGTAATAGTAATTTAGAGTATAAATTGAAAATATAACAGTAACAAGGGTACAAATTTAAAGCATGTAATTTTGTGCGCCAGTGTGCGACAATTTGCCTCGCGGAAGAATCCCGTTTGTTGTCGCATTTGGCCACTACGCGGCGTTTCGGTCGCTGCACCAGCCGATAAAAGCGGCCCGCCCCGGGGGTTCACGGTATAATTGGATCGGTTTTTGTAGCTGTGAATCACGACCCTCGACAATCACAGGGACAAGAGTTTTTCCATTCCACCCACGCGACTTTTCCGCCCGAGCCAGATATCTTTATTTTCTTATCTTTGAGGAATGCCATTTTTTTTTTTCACCGAGAACCACATGTTTCCCTTCTAGCCTTTCTTGATCTTTTTCTCCCCTTGTAATTCAAAAAAGGAATGTATTTTTCATTTACTACGTGTTTTTAATCACAATGTGAATGTTATTCGAGAAGTATTATAAAAATAATTTACAAAACTTTCGTTCAGAATTTTCACGAAAATTTCAAATCAAAGTTATCAACAGTCGGTGCAGTAGGTCGCCCAGTTGAAGATACTTGACTTTTGTTTTCAGCGATATAAAAAGTATTTCAATTTAATTTGATTTATTTCTTTTCCATGGTCCTCAGTATTTTTTAACTGTTGAGTCGTAATGGTAAATGATGATTTACTTATTTTATCGACGGGCTCAAAGAAAATTATTCGAAATTGTTTTCAATGAATTATTTCTCTCTCGCTTTGGTAAGACTTCAAGCGAGCATTCTGTGTGCCTGATAAAAAGAGCAAATTAGTCAATGATCGTTTGCATGAAGCTGCTGCTACACTTGCTCCCTCGGTTCAAATATATCTTCAAGTCGGAACAATCATTTGGAGAATCCTTGAGTAGAAATCGCTGGAGAACAATAGTTCTAAGAAGAAAAGGGGATTGTACTTCAGATCAAAATTTACGAAAACATGAAGATTCCCTCCTTTTCTCATTGTCTAGAGCCTATCTAACAATGATTCTTCCCCCCAAAAGAAAGATAATTTTTTTTGTTGCCGAGTGTGTCCTTAATGTCGGCCGATTTCGTAATTAATGCCAGTCGCGTTTGAAAGTAATGGGGCTAAAAAATATCGAGGGGCGGGGGATGAAATCGAAGCGTGTCACGAGATAAGCGACAGGAACAGCTCTTTATCTTTTTATTTCTGCAATTCCTGTCTCTTTCGCTCCTCTGTGAGGGTTAGCTAACGACGAGTTCGCGAGCTGCATAAATTGATATCCGAACCGGGTTTGCTTGAATTATATAATTGGAATTGGGCTCGTGTCTGCTGAAATCCAGCGAGTATAAATATTTTTATTTATTTACTATTCATTATCATAATATTATAGAGTATCATATTAATCTAATATTTTATTATACTATAACGTTTTAATATATTTCATTTGATTGATATTGTAATATTTTTTTATTATAATTTTACAAGTATTTACTGTAAAAATTCTTTGACTTTTGGTGTTTCTTTTTTTTTTTTATTATTATAATAACGTTTTCGAATTCTCAATTCTTACAAAGTGTTGAGAAATTTGAAACCTTTGAAAGATAATGAGAAGCACGTGGAAATTTTCGTCTACAATTAATTCGAAAGTTATATTTTCCTACAGTTTTCCGAAACGATTATTCATACGCCGATGAATTATTTATTGTTTCGAAAATTCATTCAAAATATCGAAACAGGCGAATCGATAATTTATTCAAAGTAATCCGTATAACATGAATTCTGAAGACGATAATAATTACCAGTTGCGTGTACCTTAATTACCAATTAAAATAATCATATTTATTTGTCATTTTACATGCAATCTTAAATTCCAGATCAACCAATTTTCTTTTTCTTCGTATTTTTGTATGCAATACAAAATATAAATAAATGTATATACATACATACATGCATGTGTATTTTTAATGCTAATTTTCTTTTTTTTTATTGAAAGTCTGGCACAGAAGGTTACTTCGACCGCTATTTTTGATTGGGATAAAATATTGATACAGCACTTGGTGTCAAAATCAGAGAAACGTCAAGCCTTCGCGTGACGTATGACCGTGCGACCTCTTTCACTTTTTTTTTTTTTTTTTTTTTTTT